TTTAAATAAGCCCAACCTAAAATTAGGCCCAATCCAAAATTCCAAAAAAGAATAATCTGGATTTTACAATTAGGCCCAAGCCCAAGCCCAAGCCCAAGCCCAAGCCCAAATCCTAAACTCAGCTTATTTAAATTTCAATTTGTTTCAACATTTTTTTTCATATGGGACAAACACTTCCCACATTTTGCATACCTATTTAGGCTTATCAAAACACCACACTTTGGAGCTAATTTCCCATTCATCCGGAAACGGATTTCAGAAAGTAAATATACAAAATTCATCTCCTTGCGGAGAGAAATGCGCTTGTCTAGAGATCCGTAAAAAATTATTAGCGGAATCTATTTCAAATCTCATCCAAAGTTTATGTTTTTAATACCCCCGTTTCCAACATGTTGTCGGTTTGATCCGGCGTGACGTCCAAGCATCCACTTTGTTTGATTTTGCATTTCATTTTTAAGCTGATAACTAGATGATGTTGTAACTTGTTGTTTCTTATTTGTCGTTCCATTTTAAGTTATAGAATGTTAACTTTGCGAAATTATGCTTTATGCGTTGTATTGGAAGTTCCAATATTGGTTAAATTGCATCAATATTGAAAATCATGTTTTAACGTTCTAATAAAGCTTAGGATTGATCCTATTGATTCATTTATAACATAGACGTTAGGTGGCATGAACCACTACTATTATTTTGTGCTTTAGATTCTAAGTTGATGGCTTTGAGAACTTAAACCTTGTTGCATTGTATAACATGCTCTTTTGTTGTTGAATTGCACGGGTAATGTGATTCTTGTTAACTTGTATTCAAATATGCTTTTGTCATGTTGTATGGATTACTCTAGACCTAGTTCAATTGTATTGAAAATGCAATTCATGTTAATCTATGCTCAAGCATTGTTCTTGTCGTGTTCTTTGGATTATCCCAATCATGATTCATTTCAAACACGTATGTATATCATGATTCTTGTTGCTTAGACTCTAAGGTAGCTTAGGATGCTCCCCGAGTCTCACTTGGACATAGACGTTAGGTTGCATGAGCCCCTTTAACATGTTTCACCTTAAGGTGATAAATTTGTAAAATGCTAGGTTGATGCATGCTCATCTCCTACGAGTAGCTTTATGTTACTCAACCCTACGATACTGGGGCATATTTCAGGTACGAAGACTTGGTTCATGAAGCCTAGGATTCCTTGGATGTCGTGTAGCTTTCAAGTTTCCATTTCATGCAAATGTTAGCATGAAATGTCATTTTGTAGACTTATATGTCAAAATATGTATATTTGATTCCATGTATGTAATGTATACATAAGTGCACTCCTTTCAATGTATTTGACATGTATGAGATGAGGCTGGAGGCCAATGACATGTGTATTGTATTCTATACAATTTTTCAACTTCATGAAATATTATGAAAACCTTGAAAAATCGCAACTCATTGCTTCACTATAGTTGCATCGGGTGTGGGAATTCAATTTTCATTCTTTCATAGGGTCTTTTTAATCATGTTTGAAGTGTGGCCAAGGGCCAAATGGTCATTTGATCCCGTTTTGCATTTTTGGATTCTATGTTTTCCATTCCAAGTCCATTTTCGCCTTTCTGCCCGTTGGGGGGTCAGATTTTGCATCGGTTATATTTTTAAGCCATGGACCATTGTAGCACGTCTAAATAGGTAAGTTACGTTTGCGTGCATAGTTGTTTCTGGGCAAAACCTCATCGTTTGTGTTTTGAGCCTCTTGTGAATTCATTACGCATTTTTTTTGCATATTCTAATCTAGGGGCATTATGGACCTTTTACCTCAGTTTTATTTTCTTCCTTCAACATGGTCGCTTAGAAAACGTGATTTTGGGAGGGGTTTCTTTTTCGTGTTTTTCCAGAAAAGGTCGTCTTGGTACCGGAAATCCCTCGTAAAGTTTCAGCTTCCAGTTTTCATTTAGCAGCTTTATGACCCTCTTGTTCAGTTCTGATCTAGGGGCATTTTGGGGATTTCACAGTGAGTTTTTTTCAATTCCGTCCATGGTGTTGGGTAGAAAACTCGATTTTAGGGGGTGTTTCTTCTTCGTGTTTTTCCAAAAAAACTCATCTTGACCTCCGTTTCAAGCCTCAGTTCTGGGCAGATCAAAAAAAATGTAGCAGCAGCCAAGGGCTGCCACCAGCCATGTCTTTGGGCACCGGCATGCACGCCGGTGGGCTCGCGCATGGGCGCCGTGTGCGCCATGGCCCCTCGTCGGGCCGCCGCGACGTCAATTTTTCTTTTGGGCTTTTCTCCTTCGTTCGGACTCCGATTCAAGTGAATTTTTTTTTTTAACTTGACTAATTTTTCGCTGTCTTTCCAACGGTGTGCTCAGTTGCACCCGATTCTTCCTGGATAATTGCCAGTTTACCCTTTTTGCTTTAAGTGCTCGTTTTTCTTCGTCATGCCATTTCTCCTTCGTTCGGACTCTGAATCATGACATTCTTGAGTCCATCTTTATTACTTTTTCGTTGTCCTTCCGGCGGTGTGCTCGGTGGCACCCGAATCTATAGTTTTCAGAAATGACTATTTTGCCCCTGGGGGCTTATTTGTCATATTTTTGATCTTTTGCTTCCGCATTAGTTTTTGTTGAGTTCCACAACCTCATGGAAGGTCACTTTGACTTCTTAGAGTCTTGTTTTCTGTTTTCGCTTCCGCATTTGGATCCGTTATCAGATCATCCTTACTGTTTATCACAGGACACGCTGGCCTAAAAACCAGGGTCGTCACAGAGTTGAAAGCCTATATTGATAATTCTTTATTGGTTTGGTTTTCATCTTTCAACTTGTCTTTTTTTTCTTAACAATTAGTATTCTCTGAAATTATATGTTTTTCTAACTCTTTAAAGACTAACTCAAAAAAATTGTGGGTTAAACAAATATTGAAATTTTATATTATAAAAAAAAAAATAAACCAGACAAATCTAATATTTAGTCTAAACGAATGACCACAATTGCTATATTATGGTTGCTTAGTTGATTGGTGTTGTCATCAAACCATGTAAAGTAGGTAAAAAACAATTTAATGACTTCCGATGCATTTAAATAAATTCAAAGCACTTAGGAATGTACTAATGTCAGAAATGCAACACATGAAACAGGTAGAAAGAAATTAAATCAAAAATCAAGTAATTCAGTTCCTAAGCATAGGAAAAGACTTAATTAAAATTGAACAATCTAGATATTGTGATGAATTCATCCATTGATTTATGTATTTCACAAGTCCTTGGTATGTTCATAGTTCTTAAGTTCTTTTTATTTTGTGACGCCTATATTTTGTGAAGCCTATGATGTATAGCACCGTTGTTTTGTAAAATCCTAGCAAGATACATGTATGAAATGTATGTATTTTCCATGCAAATAGATTTAGAAATGGTGTTTTGGTAGATGACTGGGGTAGTTCTCCTACCGTTGTTAAATCTATGAGGATATATTGTCAATAAATGAGTTAAAAATATAGTATCTTTTATAATTGTTCCCCCCATTGATTTGTGTTAAATTTGTTCTAACTTATGAGCTATATACTCCTTTTCTTGTCAAGGAACTTCCATTATTTTGGTTTTAGGTTAAGTTATCATCTATGGTCAGTTGGAGAAAATGATATATATATATATATATATATATCTTTAACTCTTTCAACCGTGGGAGTTTTCTAAAATTCTGTTTTAAAATTTCTCTAGTTCTTCCTTGGAAATGAATTTGTATCAGGGGATGTAGTGCTTCAAATGCTACAAAATATTTACCATACGTTCCCCTCTGTGTCTAAAGTCTCTCTGCAAAATTTGATAATTTTTGGACAGGTGTGTATTTTCTATAAAAAAAACATTGACTTTTTATTATTTTATTTTTTTTTATTTTTTTTTTTTTCAGGGACTGATTTTGAGAAAATGATTTTATGGACTTCCCGACATCATTAAATTATGAAACTTTCTAGTTCATGTGTCTAGTTTCTAAAAACAAGGCTACAAAATTTTATCAGCTCCACAAACAACTAAGCAAGCCAAAGTTCGGCACGTGGTTGGATTTTAGCACAAGCTGTGAAAGCCTTCTTCCTTCTAAAAACTATTTTCACTAGTGTATTTCCAGCATTCAGAAATGGCTCAGTCACATTGTACTCTAAGTCTAGTTTCTAAATAATTTTACTTTTCCTCGTTCTGATGAAAATTAAATTTTCTATGATTTTTCGAATAACCGCTGCACAAAATTTTTATTTAGCTGAGCATTGTTGTTCCAATTTTTGTTTTAACCTTATTAATTGAGCCCTATGGTCTTGGGGCATGACTGGTTTTGTTTTCATCTTCCAACTTGTCTCCTTTATAGATTGTTCGCTTGTCTCATTACCATTGTAGGAGATATATTTCTATGTAATGCAACTGTATGTTATAGAGAGAGAGAGCTAAAATGAGAGATGAAGTGGTGATTTTGAGAAAGGGATTGCATAGTATTTATAAGAGAGAATTAAGAGTAGCCAGTTTTCAGATTGGTGTCCATAATACCAAAACAGTTAACAATACTTGGACATATCACAAAGAGGTAGGGACATGAGAGACGCCGCCCTCCATACTAGTATTACTACAAACTTCTCAACTCTTCTGTAATCCCAGCTTGTCCTTTCTCTATCTTTATATATATATATGTGTGTAAATGTGTATTATATATACACAAATATTATAAAATAGTGGGATATCAAGTCTAACTTTTTGTAAACACCTCATTCTAAACTGATCTCTTTCCAATCTTTTGTCATCATAATTTGTGTTATAAGTTGAATATAGTAGTTCTTTTTATATATTTATTTTTAATTAATTTTCGGCTAATACATTGCCTTTAATCATCTTAAAAGTACAAGATTATCTACTTATCACACTATTTCGACTTCTTTCTCTTACATAACAGATCCAGATGCAGAGGTAATTGCACTATCTCCCAAGACCCTAATGGCAACAAATAGGTTCATTTGTGAGGTATGCAACAAAGGGTTCCAAATTGAGCAAAAACTCCAGCTCCATAGAAGAGGACACAACCTACCTTGGAAGCTAAAGTAGAAAACTACAAAAGAAGTGAAGAGGAAGGTGTATTTGTGAGAAGTGGACATAATCAAGAAGCATTACTTAAGAAAGTATGGTGAGAAGAAGTACAAGTGTAAGAAATGTTCAAAGAGATATGCGGTTCAATCTGACTGGAAAGCCCATTCTAAGACATGTGGTACTAGAGAATACAAATGTGACTATAGCACTCTTTTTTCAAGGTAATTAATCCACCCCATTTTTTCTTACATCAATTATATGCATATAATATGAATAACAACTAATACATAAAAAAAAAAAAAAAAAAAAAAAAATTAAGTTGCCAACTTGCATTAACTCCTTAACCAACATTATAAACAACTTCTCCTCCACAACAATCAATCAAAACCTCCACATACGATGAGCCCATACTCCCATGCTTTCAACATTTTAAAACAAGAAATAAAAATGGCCTCCACATGGGCCGATGTACCAATAAGGTAATAAAGTTCAAGATACACCACAAAATTGGTCACTTAAAGGCATGTGACCCCCATTTAAAAATGTGCAATCATAAAAGAATTTTATCGAACATAAAGACCATATAACTTACAAATTGTGATGTACTTGATAGGCTATGCAATCGACGCTCCCATTATTGTCTTTTCCTAGCCCCTTTGGAAGACTACATTTCAAGTACATGCAAATCAATTAAAGAAAAAATAACACCAAAATACACCCTAAGTGGAGATAGTTAAATGAAAAAACTCAAAAATAAGGGACATTATAAACAAATACATACAAAATCAAGATCACAAAACATCATTAAAACATCTTTGCATGATCATGTGAGAAGTCCATAGAGAATCCATGGAATGAGAAGCCCTTTCAACACCACTGGTTTGGATTGAATTGTAATTGGGAAAGATTTGAGCTGAAAGGGTTTTAACACCAAGACTACTGCTCTAGCACCAACCCAACACTCCCATCATTGACTGCTCTTATAATAGCTTTTGTGAATTTTACTGGAGATAAAATGATTTATCATGTGGAGTAAAGATCAATAATTGTATAAGTGAGAAAAAGTAATCTAATTTTCAATGTAATGTCAGCAAAATCAGAAGACAAAGAGTAAAATGGGTTGACTATAAAAAATACTTCTGCTATGATAGTTGCTCTAAACATATGTGTCAAATGAATTATAGGCACCTCCTTTTGTAGTCGTGTGTGTGTGTGTATATATATATATATACCATGTAAATTCAACTCATGCACTAGCTGTGAAAAGAAACAAGATCCACCATTCTTTTGGCTCATTTACAAATATTATCAAGTTCACTATATTTAATTTATGCATATAGCTTATTCAAGTAGCTTCCTTTCTAAATGTCCCTTTAATGTTTCAAGAATTTGACATTTAGAATGCCGGCTCACTATGACAAACTACAAATGTAAAAAATAAAATAAAAATTCCAAATGACTTCTCCAAAGATTCAACAACCAAGAGATCCTTCAAAAAAATCGTATATGAAATGTAACTCCCAAAACTTAGGTCAATAGTTTCATACAAACTCAGATGAAAAATATGCTTCCATGATAAGAATTATAAAATAAATAAATAAATAAAACTAAACAAATATATAACTTTTGGTGAACCATCTATGCAGTGAATATCTAGGTGTGTTTCAACACACAGGTTTTTAGTCATATCAGTGAAGATCATGTTTCCCTTGGGTAGAGAAAAAATACAAAAAATTGAACTTAATGAATTTTATGGTAATAAAGATAGTAAAATAATCGTATAACTGGTAAGAAAGTGCAAATGCAAAATTCTAAACACATTCTTACTTGAAACAACTATTATTAGGGTAGTAAGAGAACAATTTTTTTTTTTTAAGGGTAAAATCAATTTGATAAGATAATATGATATACAATACAAGTTAGCCCAGGCTAACCAAATACAAGAATAGCCCATGAGATAGCCCAAAGCATAAGAGCAAAACAAACCCAGCAAGAGTTACATTTGACATAACACAAAGCAATGTGTTTGTAGCAAGAGAACATTTATAAAAAAGAACAAGCATAGTTTTTTACCTTTTATGTATATCACATAGTTTGAAGAAATGAAGCCAATTGATGAAATGTACCTGTCAAGAAAAAATATTTATCTCTAATGATAGAAGAAGCAGAAAAAATTAAAACAAATGTACTTTTTGGTTATTCAATTAATCTTAAATACCTACTTCTACTACACAATTAAGACTATAAACTTTTTCTCATATTACATACTAGAATCCTGCAGTCACATGCAATCATTTAAACATTGGATCCTATATGCCTTTAATTCTGATCATATATGCTCTAAAAATTTTGCTTGTTAATTTTGTTAAAAGACAAAGTAGTATTACAATAGTAATCTTGAGAATCCATAATAAGGAATTCTTTAAAATAGTCATCAAACTATTAGTATGCAAGGTTCCCTGAAGCCAACAAGCTGGCTATATTGGTCACTCATAATTTCTAATATTAGGCATTCAATTGCCTTTGAGGTTTGAACCTTTCATCAAGTTTTAAAATGCTAACATGTGATAAGTCAAAACTCTTCAAATTATTCAAATTTGTATGCTCCCTTACTAAGACTTTGAGCATCGTTTTATTATTTGCTAACCTCATTGTTTTCAACCGCTCCAAGCTACCCTTCAGCATTGAATCCAACACATTAAAAACTGCACATAGATCTCTTTTATCGTCATGACCCTTGTTATGTGGAAAACAAAATACAAACAATATACATGCAACGAATTAAAGAACACAACCACAAGTTTCTTCAAAAGAACTCACCAAACTTCAAACTTTCTTTTTTCTAATATTTGTGAACAAAATACAAACAAAATACATGCAATGAATTAAAGAAATAGTACTTAAAACACAGTAAAGTCAAGGTAGATGGGGATGTAAATGAATTTGTCCTGAAGTAATCAAGAGTCAGTCCTTGGCATTAAATGATTTGCAGAGCCCTGCAAATAATCCAATTTAAACAAGAGGAGAGAGAAAGAGATAAAAAACGCCATTTAATAAAAAGTTTCTGAAATCATCATAATTATTTTATCACTACTATAAATTGCTCTATCAACTAATTGAGATATTGTAATATTCTTGAAAGAAAATACTGAAGCCACAAACAAAATAGGGAGCCAAAATCGAACTCGTTATGATTTGAGCCGTCTAATGACATCTGCACACATCAAAACCAAAAACAAAATATCAACATCAACAGCTCAAAAAAGAGTAAAGAAAAACTTGTTATCATCATCATCAATGTCACAGTCAATTACCAATTAACATTAAAGCAAATTAGAGAGTGATAATCTTCTAATTTTAAAAAGAAATAGATTTGACCCAACAAAATAAAAGATCTTTTTTTTTTTTTTTTTTTTTTTTTTTTTGGAGGAAATGAATGGTTCACGGACAAAATACTAGGTGGGTAGGCTTTAAATGTGAAAAATAAATGGAATTTAATCCAATTCATGAGCTGAAAGGAACAGCCAGCTAAGACTACCCTAGTTCTTGAATTTAAACGATGTCAAGTTTTCTATTTTCTGCAACTGAACACTTAAATAAATGCATTGAATGACATAATGTATTAAAACTATAATTGCATTAAACCCAGTTCGTGTAAATGTTTGTGTGTATAAATATAATATTAGTCATGAAAAATAATAGTTGAAAATTGAAACTCACATAGAAAGTAGTGACAGCCCCTGCAGAGTCACCTTCTACAAGCTTGATCTGAATATTTACCTTCCCAAACAAATACTTGTTTTTGGATTGAAATCCAGCCCCTGAAATTGCATATATTTTATATAAATCAGATTTAAAAAAAAAAAAAAATAGACCAAGAGCATCAAGAACAAAAAATAAAAATAAAAACTTAAGCAGAAAAATAAGTAAATGAAAACTAAAATTGAGACACCCAATACATAACAAGGAAAATCATGAAGACCCAACACAGATTTATTTGTTTACCAGAATAGTTATCTAGTTTCATCTTAAGAAGCTCTCCTTCATTGAGGAAATCGTCCAGTGCCCATTCTTAACTTTATAATCTACTAAGCCAGTCACTTACATCGTCCCAAGCAATCAAGGATCTTGGCATTTACTTGATCAAAAGACTTGATAAATATTAGGCAAGGAGGCAATATAAAATTTTCAACATAAATGATTCCAGCAAATAAATAGAAGCCTCGAATGTTAAAAACATAAACTCAATGGCAAAATGTGTATATCCCTAAATAGTTCTTAGACTAAAGAAGCTCTCAAAATTCATCAACCATGTTCCTTCTATCCTACATAAAAGGGAGAAGGGGTTATGTTAATCCCCCCTTATTATTTGGTGGTTTGACTTTGTAAATCTGAACTATCCAGTTGGATGTTGTGAATGCTTCTTCCAGGTATTCAAGCTTTACGTCCTTATTTCCTATTTCAACTTCCCTCGCTCGATCATACCTGCCATAACAAAAAGCCATTACAAGACATTAACGATGTAGTTTAGGCCTCATGAAAGCATAACAATGCCTCCATTGCAAACCAATCTGAAACAGACTTCTATAAAACAAAAGTCGAGTATATAAAATGTAACTCACGAGGTAAATTTGAAAGAGACATAAGAGTTTGTTACCATATTACTTCTAACATTGGCAATGATCCTGTTCAAAGATTAATTTATGTTTCTAAGTTTTCATTAGCACAAGTCTAGATCAGGGTGTAAATTACAGCCGTACAACAACCTTGCCATGATTCAGAAAAATGACTTTCATGCCTGACTTGTTCTCTTGATGATGCGAAGGAAGAGTCTGCTTAAAGAAAGCCGAGAGATAAAAGATAGAGAACAGGCAAAGTAAGGAAGACGCTTAGTTGCAAGATATTAAAAAAACTGAACCACTCCTGTAAAACAGCAATTATGAATTAAAACCGAAAAAATAAAAATAAAAATAATTAAAAGTTTAAACTAAAACAATAATTTCAATAGCCAAAAGAATTTATGCTCCAAACACAACATAATATATGAAAATAGATTAAATTTAATATCCCCTTACAAGTTCAACAAATTTCAAGCAAAGAGATTAAATTTTTGCCAAAGAGATTTAAACGAAATTCGTAACAGATAAGGGGAAAAGTAAAAGGAAACAACCTGATCTGTGTGTGTATAGAGAGATAATTACGCCGTTGAAAGTGCACTAAACACATGTGGTGTGCCGTCAAGCACCAACGTCTAAAGATGTGCAAAAGATAGTGAATGTGCAATGTGGCCAAGTTTTAAATTTATAAATGCCACTACTACCTCTAACTAAAAATATAGCTAGGGTGAGTAAGGATCGTCCCAAGGGATTGTGGGCATACTTGCAATGGAAACAAGATATAGGATTAGTAGGTCGAATGATCAAAAGGTTGTTTGTTTGGTCGATAAAAGTACAATGCAATTGAAATTAAAGCAAGTAAAAGGTAACAATTTAGAAAATAGGGAAAAAATATGGAGGAGAAGACTTAGGGTACTAGAGCTCACCACTAAGCTTGACTTCACTAAACACTAGCAATTGTATATCAATGGGGAAATTGAATTGTAACTTATGTGTGTGTGTGTGTGTGACATTAATTGAAACTAGGCATGGATGAAAAATAAGTATAAATTGTCTAGCCAATTCAAATAAAAAGTATAACCTATCAAATGAGACCAAAATCCATTCAATGAAACCACAATTTATGCACACACAACTATCTAAAAATATACACCCTTTGCATTTATAAGTATGGAACACCAAGGAACAAGAAAAGATTGTCCACCTATCTATGAATCTAAAGCATCTACACTACATCTACACTAAAGACATGGAAATTAAACTAAGTAAGCTAAAGGTGTGGCACAATCCATCAAGAAACAAGTGTGAACCATCAAATAAATTGCAAGAGTGTTCAATTAAGCACTATATTTTGATCATCACTAGATTAACTTCATCCATACACATAGACATGCATAAATTCCATTAAATCTAGAGAAAAACACATAAATCATCCATTCTAGCATACATAGACATATGATTAGAAATAGATAATAAATTGGAAGCATTAATCCATACATATCAAGTAGAAACCACAAGATATATATATAAATCCATGATCAAAACATTTATTACAAGTAAATACCCAAAAATATACAAAGCACTATGTCTAGGAAGCAAACTTAAAGGTTATTTTGGCCCCAAATAGATGTCTAGCCACTCATTGAAGTAGTCATCCAACTCTCAAGGGCTATCTACATGGTAGGAATGACCTCCTTCTTAATGAAAACCCTAGAGGAATGGAAGAACTCCCAAAATGTGTAAAGCTCTCTCTAGTCTCTAGCCTTCTCTCCAAGATAGATGATGAATAATATTCTTCTTAGATGATACGAAGATATTGAAGATATGAAGAGATGCTTTAAAAATGGCTCCAAATCCTTATATAAGAGGTTCAAGTGTCCCACCCAATGGTCTAGATTCGTGCACTAGGGTCCTTGCAAATGATTGCACCACGAGCTAACTTTTAATGAGCTGGAATTTGTTTTAATTTGGACTTGAGGATGTTCGATCAATCAAACTTTATTGAGATCGATCGAACTTAGGTGAGATTCATCGAATGCTATAGATATCGATCATGCTTGGCGGCACCTTTTTGAATAAAGACAAATCTCTAACATATTTTGGGATATTTTGGGAAAGAGACAAAAGTGGTAGGTGAGGTGGTAGGTGAGGATAAGATCAAATATTTTCGATTAATCGAAGAGAAGTTGGATCAATCGAGCATGGTGGAATCTTTTGGATAAGGACAAGGGCTTGGATCCATCTTAAAGTACCTAGATCGATCACATCTATATCGATCGAAGAAAAGTTGAGATCGATCAAACTTATTGACTTTCCACCCTTTGTTTCATTTTGCTTCCACTTTGCTCTTTTCTTCCATTCAGCTCGAGATAACTTTTTTAATGCTCTTATTTGGCTGAATTAACTTATTATTGGGATAAGCACCTGAAAAGTGCAATAACATGAAATTAATCTAAAACGGGAAAGTAAGATAGATAAATGTCCTAAAATACTCGAGCTTAAGGGGTTTAAATGTGCACTTTTCAGCGCTCATCACACCCCCAAACCTAAATATTGCTAATCCCTAGCAATGAACTATAAAGTAAAGGACTGAAATGAACAACTATACAACTATGAACTAGAAAACAATAAATGGATAACGTCACTTTCGTAGGGAGCACGATTGCATTTAGTACATGCAACAAGCCTTTTAAACCCTAGGTTACCCCTAGTGGACGAGTGAAGTCTCGTGAGTGTTTCTAGAAATGATACCCATAAACATTAAGCTCATTCTCACAAAAGAGGTACCAATATTGCAAACAAGCATTGGGAGAAAACTATCTCAAGTATGCAATTTTTCAACCATTTCTAAGTAATCTCTCAAAATTTTAACATCAAGTAAGCAAGTATGGTCCTCCACACATCAAGAAAATGATAATGCAAATCAAAATAACACTAGAATCCTTTTTGAGTGAACCGGTATCAAATATGTTGCTAGCTAAGCCAACTAAAGAAGTTATCACATCCTTACCCTCAAACTAGTACACAAATCTAGTCCTGATCATCAAAACAAATAGTGGACCTTTTATTAAAGCTTTATTGATCTAGGTGCACTTATTCTTTTCACTTAATTTTTTTTTTTAATCCTAAGGGTCAAAGATGGAAGCATAGTGTAATGTGTTGATCTATTAAGCTTTCTAGAGATCCATGAAGTCGAGCGTTAGGTCAATGACTCCCAAACGAGACGGCTTTCGGACATTAGGCATTAAAACACCCCTAAGGACTTACAAGCTCAAATCAACTAGGCTACAAATCAAAACAACCTCCATCTAAAATTCGCTTTTTTATTTGCTTTTGTAACTTTTCTTCTTCTTCTTCTTCTTTTTTTTTTTTTTTTTTTTTTTTTTTTTTTTTTTTTTTTTTCAATTCAGTTATTAACCTAAAGTTTGGGCCTTCCACCTTTTGGTTGAGAAATTCAATGCTTGATGAGGCTAGAATCCCGGCTACTCAATGAAAAGGGTTTGTTATTCACCTTTATCAAGAATGAAAGCTTTCAATGCACTACTAGCCCAATTGGGATATAACCAATTCAATAATCAACAAAGCATGTACCCCACAAATGAATGCTAGTGTGCGCGCCTGTGCTAGTGTAGAATCCTAGAGTGAATCTCAAAATAATCACAAAATCAGGATGATGTGGACCACAAGTGCAAGCAAGATATCAATCTTTCGAAAAAATTACTCCTAAATGGCATCCACAAGGCATACAAGGAGTATTGGACTCTCAAGTCAAGCAATTTTAAAATTTTAAGCCATATAGTCCTCCAAAGATCAAAGTCATAGCTAGTCATGGACCAATCATAGAAAATCCCTCAAATACCAAAGTCATGCTTAAAATTTAACACCCATTACCCCCAAACTTAAACGGCACAGTGTCCTCAATGTGCAAAGAGAATAAAGGAAAGAGTATACCAATACAGTTATGGTAAAGAATGACCGGGACAGAATTATCCAAAGTGGGTGATATAACTCCCCCAAACTTGGGAGTAACTGTGGGCCTGAAAAGATGGCACTGGGATAAAACTCATCAGATAACAAAGGGATAATAACAGTGCATAGTGGACATATAAGTGTAAATGGGATAAATAATGAAATAAAGAGAGGAATAAAGGTAGTCCTAAAAAAATTTAGGCAGTACTCTCTCTCACTGAAGTCACTGGGATGTACTTGATAAATGGAGTCAATCACAGATAAATGTATCAATATAATATCCAGACATGATAATATACAGTACATCATAGTATCAGGACCAACAGACTAGCTGCAAAAATAGTAGTATCAAAATAACAGTAATGTATGACAGATATATAAAGAAATGATGAGCGTAAAAAGATAGAAAGGTCAGGCAGATGAGGTCGGGTGAGCGGGGCGTGATCCCCTGATATCTCTGGATAAATCCTGCAATGTAGCCATGACGTCTGAGCGGAGAGATGCCACATCAGTGCTGAGGGAGGCCACATTTGACCGAAGAGAGACAACTTGTGACAACCCTAGTTTTTAGGCTAGTGTGTCCTATGATGAACTGAAGATTGACCCGATAATGAATCCGATATGTGAAAGCGAAAACAGAAAACAAGACTCTAAGAAGTCAAAGTGACCTTCCATGAGGTCGTGGAACTCAATGAGAACTGATGCGGAAGCAAAAGGTCAAAAATATGACAAATAAGCCACAAGGGTAAAATAGTCATTTTACATAGAAATGACGTCCCTAGAATGTAAATTATTCTCGAAACACATCCATGACTTCCCGTGAAGTCATGGAACTCAAAAGAAAGTAGCGGAAGCGAATTACACGAAAACCGGACAAAAATAGCCTCAAGGGCAAAATGGTTATTTTTAAAAAATGTGGATTCGGGTGCCACCGAGCACACCGCTAGAAAGACAACAAAAAAATAATCAGAATGGACTCAAGAATCGCATGATTTCGGAGTCCGGACGAATGAGAAACGGCCTGGCGAAGAAAAATTAGCACTTAAGGCTAAAAGGGTAAACTGGTAATTATCCAAGAAGATCCGGGTGCAACCGAGCACACCGTTGGAAAGACAGTGAAAAATTAGTCAAGTACAAAAAGAAGTTCACTCGATTTGGAGTCCGGACGAGAGAGAAGCGAGGGTTTGAAGTTGAGACGTTGCAGCGGCCCGACGAAGGCCATGGCGCACACGGTGCCCATGCACGAGCCCACCGGCGCTTATGCCGGCGCCCAATGGCATGCACATGCTGACAGTAAAAGAAAAAACATGAGCTACCAAAACTAATGCTTGAAAAGGAGGTCAAGACGAGTTTTTCTGGAAAAACACGAAGAAGAAACCCTCCCTAAAATCGAGTTTTCTACCCGACCTCATAGACGGAATCAAGAAAAACTCACTGTGAGATCCCCAAAATGCCCCTAGATCAGAACTGGACAAGAAGGCAAAAAGCTGCTACAGGATTTATCTACATCTGAGATCAAAAAGGGGCACAAAGATGAATTTTTCTGGAAAAACACAAAGAAGACACCCCCCTCAAAATTGAGTTTTCAATGTGACTTAAGAAGAATTAAAAAAAAAATGCAATGTAGAATGCCCGAAATGCCCCTCCATGAAATCTAGTCATAGA